GAAGGTATTAAGACTAAGGACGGCAAGATCCACAAACTCGATGCCATTGTCTGCGCCACTGGCTTCCAGGTCGCATTCCAACCCGCCTTCACGGTTCGCAACGGCTCCAACGTATCCATCAAAGAAGACTGGACCACCGGCCCGAACCTCTACATGGGTGTATCCGCTCCTCGATTCCCGAACTTCTACACTATAGTCGGACCCGGCGCGACGTGGAGTAACGGCACGCTTTTGCCGTCGATCGAGACAACCGTAGAGTATAGCATCAAGTGCATGAAGAAGATGCAGAGCGAAGGCATCAAAGCTATGAGCGTGAAGCAGGACGCCCTAGATGAGATCTACGCGCACTTTGACGAGTTCCACAAGACGACAGTGTGGCAAGAAGAGTGCCGGAGTTGGTTCAAGAACGGACAGATCAAGAACAGGATCTATCTGTGGCCTGGTGCCGTAAGTACCCTTCAGCTTTTATGTCGCGCTTCCTACCATATATCCCTGTCCCAATCAACGGTGGTGTCGCGCATACCCGACCTTATGCGCGCATCTCCTATCAACCCCGCACAAAGCTGTTCGCGACTGACTCATTCAATGCAGACGATACACTTCCTCAAAACCATTAAGACACCGCGCTGGGAAGACTACGACTATGTATACAGATACAAGAACCGGTTTGCTTTCTTAGGCAACGGCGATGTGAAGGCGACGGCAATGAAGGATATGCATGGCTTGAGCCCCTATATTCGCAACTGGGACCACGAATGGGACGTTGACTAAAGGCGGCCGAGCTGACATCTGTCGATGGGTCAGGCGTACCGTCGCTTGTTGGTACTGGATCTGGGCCCGGATTTCGGGTTGTTTTCTTTCCATTGGCATCCAAGCGTGCTGGGCGTTACCCGTCAGGGTTCATAATTTACTTCTTTTCTGACAAGCTGCTACTTTTTGGTTTATTTGCATCGCGCATAGCATGCGTGCCCATCACTTCGGCAATTCCGAATGGTTCGGAAGAAAGTTAATATTGGTGACTGGCAGCTCCCACAGCCCTCAAGACCCCTCAATCGCGCACGGCTTCTGTCGCAGTTCGCTAGGACCTGGTGTGCGTGTCAAACTATAGTGACTATGGCTAGCCTGATTGCGTCCATGGATGCAGGCGTCGGATGCTCGCTTCCTAGTCCCAATAAGAACGCCAAGAAGCAAACATCACGATGGTTACAAGCTCCGAGACTCCGCCACCCCAATCGCAAGCCTTGACCCCGCTCATCTCGACGTCTTTCGACTCATGTACCCCGGATTGAAGACTCACTCTGCCCTAACACGAATCGTGATTTTCCGACTACCGTCGCATAGGGACGACGCCACACTGCGCTATGGCCTGCAATTGGGCTTTGGGTGAATGCAGAGCAGCCCCAGACTCAGCTCAGATGCGAACTACTGACGCCATAGGTTCATGTGACGATGGCCTCGAAGCGACAGAGTGACTTGTTCCTCCAACCAAGCGATCCGCAATGCACTCCTACGTCAACTGTAGGCTTCTCCGCAAAGATCGGCTCAATGCCGGTTAACGAGCGTGTGGAGAGGGAAATTAAGCCATGCCGTAGGTTTGGCCTTGAGCACGGTGTTCTCGATTCTGCAAGCACTCGCTCTTCTAGGGTCATGATTCGTCAAATCCGGTACGCAGCTCGTTCCGAGCATGTCGAGCCGACAGCATTACTAGGTGCATGTCATTCGGTTGCTAGATTTACGAAGAAGCTTGCCAAAAGCCAACGTGGTCGCATAGCTTGGAGGCGCCCAGTACAGTGAAACTGCGGGGCCCCACCTCCACGACTTGAAGGCCTAAACTTCTCCAAAAATCTAGCGGTTAACGTTTAGGGCTAGATTAGGCCTGGGTCACTTCATGCTCGTGGAACTCGGAGTTTAGGCTTGACAGTCGTCCTCGCTGTCCGGTCTGCGACTCCTCTCCCCGCAACATCCACGACGCTTTGCGACATACTAGTGTGATTCCCTGCTGGCGTCTGTCCGCGAGAAACCATCCCCCGTACATATCAGAAGCGACACCATCGATGGCCAACGAAAGATCAGCAGCATCTGATAATAACATGAGCGAACAGCGCTCACCGGAACCGGCCTCCAAAGCCGGTAGCAAGCAGGAGCAGAGTACATCGGAGAAGGGTTCTACGAAAGGGAAGTCATCAAAACCTCGACACAGGGCGTCAGTCGCTTGCGCATCGTGCCGAGACCGCCGGATACGGGTATGTTTTCTCTAGCTGCTTCCACGATACGTTCTGACGACTTTGCAGTGTGTAGTACCTCCGGGCGAGACAGAGTGTACACAGTGTAAACGATCAGGTGTGGAATGCGTCATCAAAAATGATGACGAACGACGACGGTATGTAATGTGTCTTTACTGACTGATACCAAGCTGACACCTGTACAGACCTATCTCGAGGGCATACATGTGCTCTCTCACCGACCGCGTAGCACTACTAGAAACGATGCTGAAGGAGCGAGGCGAAGAGCTACCCCCAGCGAATCACCCTCCCAAGACCCGCCATAACCCTCAACCCGACGAAGAAGGTACATCGCCCACCCAAAAAGCAAGCGAAACCCAAGCGCACAACAACGAGAACCATTCCAGTCCAGGCAGTCAACAAAGCCCACAAGATGACTATCCTGATTTCGAACAGCAAGAGATGAACACGAATAGTCCTCGTTTCTCAAACGGTGATGCAGAAAGCGCGGGCTCGCCGTCTATGCTACCACCTCCAAAGAAAGATGGCATGGTCAACCGTCTCCTCTCTACTCGTGGTCATCTTAGCTTTGATCAGTTGAACGGCCGCCTCCGCTACTTCGGTCCAACAACAAACTGCCATGTACATTCTGAGTCGGTCAACCCCTTCGGCGCAACACAAGAGATGAATGAGCAGGCTCGACGCGCCGACAAGATCATCCGCTCTCTTCCACTGGAAACATACGATTATCTCATGGATCTGTTCTGGCAATGTTACAACCCAGTCATCCATGTTTTGCACCAAGATGCTTTCAACGAAGACCGCGAGATGGGCCATACACAGTTCTATTCTGGTTTCCTGCATGTCTGTGTTCTGGCCATGGGTTACCGTTTCGCAAACAAGGAAAGGCTCGACATTAGAAGAATCGGTTTACCGGGCATGGAGAGCACGTTACATCGCGAAGCAAAGTATATGCTTGATCATGAGCTGGAAAGACCAGGTGGAATACCGAGCGTAGTTGCATTACTTCTGCTAGGCGACCTCGAGTGCGGCGTTGGTAGAGATAATCTGGGCTGGATGTACGGCGGGATGGCTGTGCGACTTGCTTTCGATATCGGGTATGTTCTACTGGAAGATATCTCAGTGGTATACTAACATCTACATAGTCTCCATCTCGATACACGACTCTCAGGTCTTCCAGAACGCGAGGTCGAGATCCGCCAAATGACTCTTTGGGCATGCGTCATCTACGACAAATACTGGGCACTTTTCTTGGGCCGGCCGACCTCGATGAAGCCTTCCGATCTTGAAATATACAACTTGACAAAGCAGTTTGAGCGCCTTGGCACCTGTCGACCGGCTGGACTGGGGAAGAGCATGGAAACCATGATCTACGAAGCACTCCTCGATCTTATGGAGCTCGCAGGAAAGATTACCGAGAATATGGATCCGCATCGCTCGCAAAACACTGCTTCCGACTCACACACCGCCGTAGATCGAAATCAGTATATGCGCATGGCAGCGCTGGACCGCGAGTTCAGCAGTTGGTACGCTAGACTACCCGAGCAACTGCGCTGGACACCAGCCAACATTGCGACTGCTCCATTCTCGTTCTTCTTGTTGCATCAGCAGTACCACGCTAGCTTGATCTTGCTACATCGGCCGTTCGCATTGTATGAAGACCAAGCAGGCAACGAAAGTGGACCTGACGACCATTTCTCTGCACTGAGTAGGACAGTGTGCACCAAACACGCTATTCGCGTAGCAAGGATATATTGGCAACATCGACAGCGATTCGATACGAAGCAAATTTTCGTAACAGGCATGCAACATGCGGTATGTAGTAACCGAGCCTTTTCGTCTCTCTTACTAACGATTTTCCGTAGGGTACAGCGGCGACCGCCCTCGTAGCAGCTTTGGCGTTCATCAAAGACCCCACCTCCAGAGCCAACAACATGCAGTACCTCGAATGTCTGTCCGCCGCTCTCTCAGACATGGCATCTACCTATCAACCTGCGGAGCGAATGTCTACCGTACTTCGTGCGGTGATGGTAGAGCTACGCGGCGGCCCCGAGCCCCCCAACTCTTCGTTCAACTTGTACAAGCCCGCATCCTCGACAGTACCCGCGCGAAGAGGTAGCACAATAGATATGGACGCCGATATGAACGACAACCAGCAGTGGGCCAAGAAAAGGCAGACCAGCAGCGGAAGACCTAGAGCCGGTACAGGCGGAAACAGAAAGACGAGAACAATGAGTATGAGTACTACTATGAGCATGCCGTCTGATCAAGGGAGACATGGGCTCAGCATCAAAGCTCCTCCGCCACCCCGGTTCGACGACCCAATTCACAACAACGATGGGTACGTATTGGTGACGCCACGTTCAGAACTCGGTAGTGTTGGCTGGCCCAGCATATCGGAACCTCCTGAGCTTTCTCACAACATGTCAACCCCCTCCACCACCCTTTCTTCTTCACACGTGAACCGGAATTCTGGGGCTTGGATGGGCGCGGACTTTGATCCTCACGATCCGATTTCACAACTTGCTAATGCGCATTTCCCCGAGCTGAGCGCGTTTGATGATCTCGGTACGGGTGGTAGTGGTGGTGTTAGTGGCGGTGCGATTGATGGAGTGAATCTGGATTTCATGCCACTGGGGGATGGAAACGAGTGGAGTCTACCCAAAGAGTGGAACGGGCCGAGTGATATGGATGGATTGAGTGCTTTTGATATGTAGTGTGTGCTTGGAGCGCGAGTATATTTGATAGGGAATTGTATCAACCCTCCTTGATATCGATGATGGCATCTCTCCCCGTACTACCGTTCTTCTCTTTACTATGGTCCGAGTGCTCGTCATCGGCTACAACAGTGCCCAGTCGCGTCAGCCCACTTTCCCTCCCCTCACCCATCCTCTCCACCATGCGCTGAATATGCGGATGCGACGGCGCAGGTCTCTGACTTGATCTCCTCCTTCCCATGCCCACCCCAACCCCCATAGGCATATGCTCTGCCCCTCTAAGTCGTAACCGCATACCCTCTTCCGTCGACATGGTCCTATCTACGCGCCTTGGGGGCTCCAAGTCTGTGTCATTCGGAATTTTCGGCTGCGTCCTTGGTCGTAGCCATCGCCAAAATTCCTTCGTTTTCTGCGCCCAGATACTATAGCCGTATTTCGTGGAGAGGAAGCCGATGATGCTAAAAAAGGGGATGCAGATTGTCACCAAGACGATGGCGAATGGCGTAAAGTTTGCCGGACTTTCGGGCATGTTTGTCATGCCGAAAACGGAAGTTACGAATGTGAGAGGCTATTAATTCGTTAGTCATCTGTTGTGAGAGCTTGTAGAATTTGGCATATGCACTTACCATGAAGAAGAGATTGACGATGGTCAAGACCTTGATGTTGTACCCTTGGTGCACGGTGACATCCGCTAGCTCAACGGACTTCCTGGACTCTTGGATGCTAGTACCAGAGAACAACTGCTCCTGCAATGTTTCAATCTCATGCCGTCTTTCATTGTTTTCCGAGATGATGATCCTAAGCTCTTTCATTTCCCGTTCGAATTGAAGCCGCAACGTCCGCAAACGCCGCTTCCAGTGATCGTTGCGCGGCGACTCCTCGAAGAGCGGCCAGAGCGTCTTGTTCTGGCCTTCCCAAATGTCGTCGGTGAAACAGTCTTCGAACGCGTCTATCATAGATTTGATGCTGTTGTTGACATTGCCCAAGGTTTGGTGTGCGTAGAAATATCTGCGGATCCAGGTGAAGTCTTTGTCTTCAAACAGTCGGGCTCGGCGTAACTCTTCACTGAATAGGAAGCCCAGCGGTGGGGTGACTAGATCGGTAATGCGCTTATAAATCTCGTCGAATCGCTTCCTCGCATCCCGATATTCCGTGAGCAAAGCATGGAGAAATGCTTCCGCGCCATTGAGATACTTGTGGCCAGTTTCGAAGGTATATGGCGTTCCATTTGCTGGTGTCGACTTCCAGTCCGGGAAACTCTCCAGCTGCAAAACTTGCCACGGGGACCAGACATCATGCACCCATCCGAACTGTGTCTTCGCACGTCTTCCTCGATTTCGGATGCGGCGTGGTTTGTCGTCATACAGGACAAGCGCAACGACTGCACTGCACCGCGAAAGTGGTATATGATGATCAGATTGACCCGTTATCTTATCCGCACGCTGCCATTGCATGGGCTGGCAGTCATCTCCAACGATGGTATAGTATTCGAAGTTGAAAAAAAAGGTCCTTTGGTGTTTAGGGTTCTGATTGAAGGCTCGGAACATATGCGCAGATGAAGCTTCTGTTTCGACTAGATGCCGGAACAGTTCGTCCATGTCAAAAGCATCATTCAGCGTCAGATGAAGTGCACCAAATAAGATTGGTGAAGGTTCTCGCGCTATGGTGATACGTCCAACCACGGTTTGGTCCGGCTGCTTGCCAACGTCTCTCAGTGCATGCCAAATCTCAGTTGCCCGGCTCATGTTGTTTTCAGGACCGGTCACTTCAATCAGCTCAGGCAAACCGTTGGTTCCGACATTGTACACTTGGAAGTGCGAATAATGGCTCCGATCATCTGCTGGCCCAGGCCCCATGTGAAAGAGATGAGATTGTTTGGTGAGCTTCGCGGGATCAGAGATGATCGATGCCAGAATCTCTCTGCCATGTTCAGTCCAGTTATGCGTCTTCAGATGCTCGCGTAAATGTTCGTGGTCGAACGAATGGGACGGTAATTCGTTCTGGACGAAATAGTCGTCTTCTTCATCGCTGCTGTCGTCAGAAAGCGTTGAGGTATCGGCGAAGATAGCATCGCCTCCATGTCGTGTGGATGTGCGGCGAAGTTGTGAGGCGTCGGATGGTTTGAAGGTGTCGTTCGTTGCTGATAAGCTTTTCAATAGCGCCTCATGGGAGCGCTGGAGCGACTCTAGCTGCTTCCGAAGATCGTCAATCTCAGTCGTTGCCATCTGTAGTGTTCAAAGCCGTGCGACCCGACATGCGAAAGCTGTTCTCGAAATCGAACTTTACAGAAGGTTCTGCTTATGTCGTGTAGGATTGTTAGGATCCGGCCCCCACACTAGCGCTGCAGGAAGCCCAGCCTTTCAATTCAGCATTCGAGTTTCCCATCCAATCTTCACCTATGCCAAGGTGGAGCTAGGGTGGAGCTGGGTCCAGAGCCGCGATCAGAAGAGGGGCCATTGGCCTAATGCGTAAATGCACACCGGTTGTATGAAGGAGTTGTGAGGAAAATATGCAACACGCCTGCTTAGGGTCGCTCACCGCCCTTTTCCAATTGGACATGCTCATGTCGCGAGCCAGTTCAGATCGAGCAGTCGAGCACGAGGACTGTCTCCAACAAAGTAAAGATGATTCCATGTCGCGGGTAGAGGCTCTTCTGGTAGCTCTGCTGCTTTGTTGGGATCTCGGGAGCGGGGAGCTGAGCCGGCGCGATCGAAGCGACCGTCTACATCACGTGATCACCGCGGAGCTGCTTTCTAGACTTCTCACTATAGTCGCATTATCGTCTTTTTGCCCAGGTGAGCATTTGCGCGTCTCGTAGACGACGCGACCTGACGCGACTTACTTCGCGTTTCGAGACGCGTCGGGCCACGATGTCGCTGTTCTTCGGTCGCGTCATCGGCGCTCGCTTATCGATTGCCAAATTTCCTTTGCCTGTGATCTTCGTGACACCAGCCCCCAACATTGCCCACGTGAATTGAGAGGGCACGATGCCTACCCTTTCCACTTTTCTTTCGGTATCGCTGCCTGTGATTCTGGCTGCTCTAATCTACCAGCTAGGGCTGCCGGCTTTCATCAGCGAATACGTACCATCCAAGTTGCTTCCAAATCTCTTCGTACCCACATACTGCTACAAGTCTGTCAGAACGCTTTCGTCGGAGTTCCCGCATGCCGAGTGCTTTACCATCCACGACGGCAAATTCTCCAGTGTCTTCGTAGACAATGCAGCCCCTGATTTGGTCAAGGAATCCCGCACAGGTTACGTGTATCCTGGTTTTTGGGATGGACACGGTCACTTGATCCAGTTTGGAGAATCTCTAGATTCAGTGAGCCTCTTTGGCGCCGATTCAATGGACGAGATCAAGAGGAGACTGTTGGAGTATAAGACAGTCCGTCCAGAAAAAGGAACTAGTGAGCAGTGGCTACGGGGCGTCGGTTGGGACCAAGCTCATTTTGAAGGGAGGTGGCCAACTGCAGTACGTTGGACCTGATGAACGTAGACGCGCTGAAGTGACCGTGCTGATACTGACACTTCATCTAGGCAGATTTGGAGATAGATGAGAGATTCATGGATCTTTATGTTATGCTGGATCGTGTTAGTTCTCCGTGCGAAATGGGACCGACACATATACTGACTTCGCGCAGGTTGATGTTCATTGCATCTGTGAGTCAGCCCTGGAAATCGAGCATGGAGTCAATCTAACCCAGTGATTTTATCTTAGGGGTATCTGAAAAGGTGCTTGATCTTCTTCCGTCATTTAGTATACCTCCCGGAGGCGAAGTGCCGGCAAAGGGTGTCTTCTGCGACAATGCCATGGATATCGTACTGGAGTATTACCCAAAGCCGACCAAAGCGCGCAAAACCGAGTTCATTAAGACTGCGATGGCAGAGTTAAACAAACATGGTATTGTTGGGATGCACGACGCCGGTGTAGTGCCGGCAGATTTGGAGCTATACGAAGAGCTCGCGAACGACCCGGACTGGACTGTGAGAGTCAATGCGATGATCGAATGCGACGTCCGGAACACGTTTTGTCCCGAGGCGGTCAGGAAAGTTTCGACTCCGAATGGCCGATTTCATGTGAAGAGCGTCAAGCTTTTCGGAGGTTTGTATACACGGCCCACTCTCAACAAGTGACTTACAATGTGCAGATGGGGCTTTGGGCTCCTGGGGCTCAGCTATGATCGAGCCGTACAGCGACAAACCGGAGTCCTCCGGCTCTTTACTTGTCAACGCGACTACGCTGTCACGTGTGACATATGATTGGGCCGTAAAGGCAGGGTATCAAGTTAATATTCATGCTATTGGGGATCTTGCTAACAGGCTTGCGGTTGACGCGTTTGAAGCGGCGTTGAAACGCTTGTGCCCCCACGCTAACCTCCGCGACTGTCAAGCTAAACGTCGTTTCCGCATCGAGCACGCCCAAATCATCCACCCAGATGACCAGCGCAGGATGTCAGAACTTGGTATCATTGCGTCAATACAGCCCACGCACGCGACCTCGGACATGGGTTATGCGGAGAGCAGGCTTGGCCAGCAACGAACAAAAGATGAGGCGTACCGAATGCGGTCGCTCTTACCACTTCGTCCAGTCCTCGGTAGCGACTTCCCAGTCGAACCCGCGAGTATCTTCGAGGGAATGTATGCGGCAATCACGCGACGAAGTCCACGTACAGGACTGGACCCTAGCGGTGGCAAGGCTGGCTGGTATCCCGAAGAGAGCCTCACTTTCGAACAAGCTTTAGAGGGTTTTACGGTAAACGCTGCATATGGTGCCTTCTTAGAAGGCAAAGCTGGTGTCATCGAAGCGGGGGCGTATGCTGACTGGGTTGTTCTCGACGAACAACTTGAATCGCTGGACCCAGAAGCATTGAGGAAGGTGGCAGTGAAAGAGACGTGGGTGGGCGGCAAGCGAGTCTATTGACGACCCGGCCATGAAGATCTTGTTCGGTAGAGAGGTTGAGCGGCGAGATCTCCCTCCGCCGGCCAACGCCTGACATCAGCTCGGCAAGCCATTGATGCAGCACAGTCGACTGGACGGCTCCGGCGGCCGTCAATCAAAAGTCTTCGAGAAAATTCGAGCGGTAGGCTGCCGGCAAGAGAGGGGGTCATTGATCTGCATACTGCCGCCAGGGTTTGAGGCTACGGGTCATAATGTGTCCCTGCTATTTGAATCACGTCTATAGGTGTGCCTTCAACTCTTTATGCCCAACATGCATTCAACCCCACACGTTTGTACTACATTGAGCGTAGATCCCGCTTGTATGTCGGGCCATCCCTAGCACAACTCACTATCCCACACGACCATCAGGGTACTCAGCCAACCAGACAGACGCCATTACCGCTCAATGCGTTTGACACATGGCAAATGCGAGAAAGAGTTTTCCTAGTCTACACATGCACGCTCGTGTTGATGATTCTCCCGGGCACAGCTGACAATCGCAGTAGCGTATAAAACTTTGCTAAACTGATAGTTTGCATCTTGATCACACACTCAAATAGAGCAGTACTACCTGACAACAGAAACAACAATAAACACGTATACTCGTGCCTCATCATGACGACCATCGACCGTAAACCCACTGCGGAACTATCAAAACCTACTACCCCGGTCGGGTCCCTTACCGTCACACCCCCAATCACACCGAATGCGACCAGTACCGCTGCGCATCAGCTAGTTTCCGAGATCAGGGACATATACACGGTACTCAACGAACTATCGTCGTTAGCGCCGTCGGATCAAGTCAACTCTCTCCTCACACGACTCGTAAACCTCTGCGTCGTACCTTACAGCGCAGAATTTACATCGTATTTTTTCCGTATACCTGCCGTAGAGAGCCTTTGCTCCAATTTGCGACCGCTATGTTCAGAAGCCGAAGGAGAGTTGGAGAAGTTCTGGGCAAAGCGCATGCTCAAGGACATCAGCGGTAAGTGCAGCGCAATCACGCATCACACTTAACTACAGGTCTGACTTTCCTTAGGTACAACCACAACACCTGAGGATATTCTGACAACTTTCCCTTACCACCAAAATTACGTCGATCTCTCCCGCTTGGAATGTTCTACCATAGAAGCGTTCCTCCCCAGCCCACCGTCCAAAATCGCTTTCATCGGCTCCGGTCCATTACCTCTGACCTCCCTCTGTTTCCTGGACCGCTATCCTAACGCGCAAGTGCATAACGTGGATCGCGATGCCCCCGCGCTTCAAGTCAGCGAATCGTTATGTAAGCGGTTAGGCTATGGCAAGCGCATGAGTTTCGCTTGTGAAGACATTACCGAGGTTTCGTCAAACTCCGAATGGCAATCGTGCCAGGTCGTCTTCCTTGCTGCGCTGGTTGGTACAGATACGTACACGAAGCTCAACATACTCAAAAGCATGGTGAAGAAACTGGTGCCAGGTACATTGGTGGTGGCGAGGAGCGCGCAGGGTATGCGAAGTGTGTTGTATCCGGTATGTTTACACCGACTTCCAGTGCACAGTAGTCATTAATGAAAATACAGATACTGGAACTGTCAGAAGAACTCCAATCCATCGGTGTCGAGATTCTTGCCGAAGTACATCCGTGGACTAAAGTCGTTAATTCGGTCATCGTTCTACGCGTGAAATGAAGGCGAACGTGGTTCATTGGTACAAGTCGGCTTGAGGTGCATATTTGCTAGGTTTAGCAGCTCACATAGTGTATTTGCATAGTTGGCGGCGTATGCGGCACTTCCCACAACGATATGACGAATCGAAGCGAAAGGGAAATTCACGAACGGTGTATCGCACGACTGGCCTTAATCTCCGCGATATGTTTACTTGAACATGAAAACCTCATAATGGTGGCGCTAGTTATTGATGTCAATGTATGCGAATGGCTCTGGCACTATCTCTCCACAATGACCGCGATCTCCTTTCGGTACTTGGTACGAATAGCATATCATCCCCAAGTCCATTTGCGAAGCCAAGGTTTAAATTTGACATTAATTCATTGGGAGACTAGACCACATCAGAAGCGACGGCACATGGTAAAGAGACCTGGTATTAGTACGAATAAATGTCTTTGCATCATCATGAGCCAGTTGCGCCATACATATTACAGTCGTTTCATATGAGAAAAAAGTACCTGGGTATCCAAATATCGAGCGGCTCAGCCTCCTTCCTACTGGCCTAGACTAAAGATGCAAACGAAATCCTGACTTTCGGCCGTTAAAAACATTCCCATTACCGAGACCGGCGCGGTCCTT